CATTTTCAAACTCCCTACACCCATCCCTCCCTGATCACAGGTAAATTTTCTGAAGTCACTGGGTTTTTGTCCTGTTCTTTACTGTAACCTTAGTACCAGGGACAGTGACTAACACATAGTAAGTGCTCAGTAAATATTTGTTGACTGAGTGAAGCAGGGGTAGGGACTCAGAATTGGATACTCCTGGGATCCCTTGGGGTGGTCTTTCAGACACAGCTGGCTGTTGTCATTACTTTTATCAAAAGAATCCAATAACAACTCATCCATCTCTCAGGGAATAAGCCATTTCCCAGAAGCAGAGAAGGAGCTGGCTCAAAAACTTGTTAACTTTGTTTATTCATAAAAGCATTTTATCAAAGTATCAACTTTTGTATTAAACTAGTTTTCCATTTGTAGAAACCCTAGCTTTCAAGAAAATAGGACATATTTCTCAGACTCAGCTAAACTGACTTGCTTGCACCTTAAATCTGCTCTATGCTTCTTCACTGTGCTAAACAGAAAATGGCTTTCAGCCCACTGGCCCCGTTTCTTGGGGTCAGAAGTCTTTTGTGTATCCCTCAGGGCTGCAGAACAGCTTTGCTGTCAAGAACCACTGGACCTGCATTACCTTAGCCTTTAACCACCAGCTTACTGCTTGTAAGACGAACACAAAACAGGGTGTTCTGGCTTAACCTGGCTTCCAGGCACCTCTCAGGATGCCTCAGATACCTTCCTTCTTTCCCCCTCTTTCTTTTTCTTCCTCTTTTCACTCCTTTCTTCTTCCCTGTCCTAACTTTAAAATTTAGTCCTCTCTCTCTGAAATACAGAGAGGATACTTCTTTCTTTCCTTACAAAGATTTGCTTTAAAGAGTAATGAGAACAGGGCTGGGGCTAGGGGCTCAGTGGTAGAGCACTTGCCTAGCACGTGGGAGGCACTGGGTTCGATTCTCAGCACCACATATAAATAGATAAATCAATAAAAATAAAGGCCCACTGACAACTGAAAAAATATATATTAAAAAAAGGAATGAGAATGACTAAGGAAGCATGTACGCTGTTTCTTTAGCATCAAGCCCTCCCCTCCTCACTCAGAATCCCACCCTGCACATGCCAATCCACTGGACACCAAAGATTTTCCTCTATACTCATTTTTCTTTTTCTTCTGAACATCTAAAAATACATTTATGTTGGGTGCAGTGTTGCATGCATGCCTGTAATCCCAGCGACTAGGGAGGCTGATGCAGCAGGATTGCAAGTTGGAGGCCAGCCTTGGCAATTTAGTGAGAACTTGTTTCAAAATAAAAAATAAAAAGGACTGGGGGTGTAGCTCAGTAGAGATTTCCTGGGCTCAATCTCTAGTCTCCCTACCACCCCACCCCACACACTAGAATTAAAATATACTTTAACATGAAATAATTTTATTTTGGTGGGGGTAAATTCTTCACTTTGCTTTTCATGAAACTGCAGTTTTAAGTCAAAAGAAGCTTGAATGACAACTTTATTCAGGCTCCTCCTTTTACAGAGTCAAGGCACAGAGGGCTTAAGCATGAGAACCAGAATTAAAACCTGGTCTTCTGACTCCTGGATGGGGACTCCTTCCTTTATGGTTTGAATTGAGCAGTTCTTAGTTAGCCATGTTCTTGGATTTCAGATAAAAGATAACTTAATGATCCTGAGTCTAGGTCCTGGGAGAGCAGGTCCCACAGTAGTAGCACTGTCCTGCTCCCCAGAAAACCCCTTTTCTCTTTCCTTCATGTTTTCATGTGGAGGGAACTCCATCACAGTTAGACAGCAGCCACTATCTGCTTTCCTTCAGCTCCCCAACAGCGAGAATGGCCCCCATAACCAGGTCTGGATTGCTGAGCCTCCCTCCACCTCTCACCCTCTGTCCCCACTTGTGTCTCATCTAACACACCAGACATTTCACAAGGGCAGGTTCTGCTCTATCGGCTTGATTTGAGGTAGATATTCTTGAGCAAGATGACAACATTGGTACAATTAGGATACAGGTGGTATACCCATGTGGGAGTTGAGAGAAAAGGAGCTATGTGGTAGGGAATTGGGAGGAAGTGGACTTGTGAGAGATTCCTTCTCTTCGGAAGTGAAATCTTTCAGCCATTTATCATATTATAATGTTGGTAATATTATTCTAGCATACTGATGCTTGCGCAATGGGCCCAGCTACCATCATTTCAGGTAAATCACATGAAAATATTTTTCATTATTATCAATTCAAAAGAAAAGGGATTTGATTAGATGTAAAAATGTTCACTTTAGAAAATTGGTTTACAATGCTGTTTTTGAAAAGTGAATTTAAAAATGTAAAGGAGATGGGTGTGGTGGTGTATGCCTGTAATCCCAGTGATTTGGGAGGTCCAGGTAGGGGGAATCACAAGTTGAAGGCCAGCCTCAACAACTTAGCAAAATTGTGTCTCAAAATTAAAAAAAAAGGTAAAAGCTAGGGATGTAGCTCAGTTGTAGAGTGCCTCTGGCTTCTATATCCAATATCCACTACCTCCCCAAAAAGGTAAAAATTATTCTTATATTTGATGCGAAGATTTGAGGATTTTATAATAATGAATTAAGAAAAATATCCCTGCAACTGAACAAGAAAAAAAATCTGTAACTGAAGGACAATTCACATAAGATAATGCTTTGTGGAAGTCTTTATTTCTACCGGTGTATATGTGTGTATGTGTGTGTTTTAACACCTTTTTGAGGGGAAGTCCTATCGATCAAACCCATGGCCTTGTACATCTAGGTAAGTGACCTACACTCGAGCCCCATTTCTACACATTCTAATTTGATGCTTTTATGTGTTCTATAGGGATCATTGAAATATCGATCCCATCACTTCAATCATAATTTGTGTTTCAAAAATCAGAATATACAATGTACAAGAGAATCTCCATTTTGTGTGTCCTTGGCCCTTGTTAAAATAAAAATGGATTTTCTCAAGGGCGGAACTTTATCTGGTTACAGACTTCAATAGCAAGGCTAATGTAAGTTAAGTGTTTGTTTTCATATCAGAATAGTAACACAAGGTGACATTCTTACTGGCAAGAGGGTGATGTTCTCCCAGCATTAGTTTTCAAAGAGATAAAAATGAGCTGAAGTAAAGTGTAATTGAAGTTAGTTGTAAAGAAATACAGAAAGATTTCAATTAATCAATTACAGCCAAGGATAATTATTCAAAGGTAGTTTATTTAAACTCATCTGTGACACCTTGTATCAAATCTGGCCCCCTATTTCCAGTTCTTTCCCCTTCGTGTCTTGGATATCCAACCGCTAATAATACTTCTAGAATAACATGGAGAACAAAACAGAAGGCAGTCATTTTGCTCTGTGTTTATAGTTTTGTTTCCTTTTGTTTGCATAGATTTAGTTACGGATGGTTTTAAAAGGTGAATAATCTTGCCCAGTTCTCTTTTTAAATTCCCTGTGCCCTTCCTTCTGGAGCTAGAGGGTATTCTTCCTTCCCTTTCTACCCTTTGTAGGTCACTCCAGGCTCTCTGAGGGCAGAGATTTTGTTCTGTCTTGCTTATTACTGAACACTACTAGCATATGGTAGATGCTTGGTATAGTGAGAGCAGAGCACAGGACCAGCCAGACACCACGAGGGGCCTCTCAGGACCATCACTCAGAGCACAGTTTGCTGGTGGAGTGAGTTCAGATCTACCCAGGGTGACTGTGTTTATGGATAGAAGCTTTGTAAAACAATAAGGTCTTTTGCTGCCCAGGAATCAATACTTTTACTCTGAGCAAACTGTTCTGTATTTCTGATTCTAGAAGTCTATACATTTCTTTGCAATTTCAAAAGATGAATTGAGCTGGTAATGTTTTATTTCAAGACAGAAGCAGGGCCATGTGTTAAGTCCCAAGTGTCTGTTAAAATAAATCACAAGATACCTGTGTTTTCCATCTCAAAATAATTTTAAAAGACAGGTTAGCATTGTTTTCTACTCACATTGGAATTTTAATCTAATTGAAATATCATTTGTAGTTCTGAGAGTACTAATGTGTTGAGACACTAAAATAAATTTTAAAAATCCAGCACTTTTAGTGAAAAGGATAATGCTCTCATCAAGTTGAAATACTGTTTTTAAAAAGGATCTTATTTTTGTTATTAGTGATTTGTTCATAAGTCCCTTCCCACACCAATCAGCTAAGTAGCCTATTGTCCCTCAGTGAATGGAGCAATGAAAAGTCAGGGAAGGAGAGTTTGGCTGCAGACAACACTGACACTGGACAGTGAGCATTTTTTGTGTGGAAAAACTATCTGGCTCCTTTGAAGAGCATGAGTTAGGAAAATAAAATCATTTCCTGAGTTTAAATTGCTTAGACTTCCCATAGGGTCATAAAATAACAGAAGTGAAACTGAGCACAGTATAACGAGAGAACATGTATGTGTTGTAAATTGTGAGCTTGGTCATCTTTGCAAGAAGGATGAAGTTTTTTTCTGGGACTATACTAGGGCAGAGATTTTCATTGCTATAGGTTTGCATATTTGTGAAAAAATTAAACAGCAAACCAGTGATAAGGCAATTGCCTGGAGACATCAACACTTCACGTGCTGAGGGCTTCCCTCCTAAGCAATCCCAAATTCCTTGAGCAAAATTGAGAACTAAGAAGGATGTCAAAGATTACTCTGAGAACCCTAGAATGGTGTCAGAATGCTCTTGCCCACTAAAATTATCACCAGGGATTAAAACAGAATTTCTTTTTTTTTTTTTGTACCAGAGTTTGAACTTGGGACACTTAACCACTAAAGTCACATCCCAGCCCTATTTTGTATTTTATTTAGAGACAGGGTCTCACAAGTTCTCATGAGTTGCTTAGCACTTCACTTTTGCTGAGGATGGCTTTGACCTTGTGATCCTCCTGCCTCAGCCTACTGAGCCACTGGGATAACAGGTGTGCGCCACCACGCCCTGCTTAAAATAGAAATTTGAAGAAGCCTATCCAGAGTTGACTTCAGCCTTTTCCAAGTCCTATAACCCCTGGTTTTTGTTGTTGTTTAGGAAATGAAATAGCTATGGAAAACGTTGACAAGGACAGTTGGAGAAGAGAGAAGTGACCCTGATGCTCTGAGAACAGGGAGGGAAGAGAAACAATAAAACACAGACAGATGGGAAAATTGTAAAAACGCAGCAGGCTAAGGAAAGAAGAGTGAAGATAAAGCTGAATATGTGCTTCAAACTATGTAAGTCAGTATTTTCAGCCTGCAAAATAATTGATGTGCATGTAATGATGTCCCTGAGTTATTAGAAGAGGTTAGGAAAACTGAGTTATTAGGTAAAATATTCATGTGTAAGAAGGAAGAATTTAGAAAAAAAAGATTCAGAAAGATTTCCTTTGGAAATGGGTCAAGTAAAAACTAAAGTTTTGATGCTTAAAGAGAGTCTGTTAGTTAGTGGCGGTGCCACAACGTGAAATGTGGTGGTGGTGGGATTAGTACCTAGGAACTTCCAGGGTGTGAAGTTCACTTTGATATGGAATCTCACTAAATTGGGCTTAAGATATGTCACATGGGGTTTAATGAGGATTGACTTATTTAACTGATAAAAAAATAAAAGAATGCATGGACTTGAGTATTTTTATTATATATTTGTCAAATAATTTCTATATGGAAAAATTATATAAAGAAATATTTTAGGGCACGATGTAAAGTTGTCAGTAGTATTTGCTGTCCCCATAAGCCTGGCTTCACATGGATGCCTGGTTTCTCTCATATAGGAGTGACTGAAATGGGAACCCCATGCAATTCTTTTGCTTCAAAATAGGAGATTAGTTTATGCTTCCTAATCAATATCGTGTACTTTTCTAAATTTCATTGTGCTTTCTTTACTTGTGACTTTTTGACTTTTCTGGGCTCTGAGAATTACTTCTGACCCTGAGTAACTCAGCAAATTAATGGGACTTTTATTGAGTGTCATAAAAGTAGCTGAGCTACTGACTTAAAGATGATGAAAATTGCTTTTCCTTGAATAAGCCCTTGATTTTATTTTGACTTTAAAGATTTTCTTCTGGAAATGTTAGAATACCTTGATGAATTTGCTAACTGTAGGTTTTGGTGTAGAACTATCAATTAATGAAGAAAGAGTTCACTGATATCTTCAGAGACTATTAGCCCCAAGGTTTGTCAGACTATGGAGACTTCCACCTTTCTATCTTCAAATTCATTTCATTTAAGCAGGATCTCCTGCCTCCGTTGGCTAATGGCAGAAATTCAGAATCATTAGCTAAATTAATTGTTTCATGTGCTTGGTCTTTAGAACGTTATAAACTATAATGGAATTACTGAGTTGAGAGCAATTAATTGGATGTTCTTCAAATATATCCTAACCAAATGCTGTACCTGACACTCTTTATGACCATTTAAAAACTACCAAAAGGAAATTGTTGATGAATCCTAGTGCCATCAAAATAAACCATCTAAAATAGTTTTAATATCCCCAGATCTGTGTATTTGTGTCACCTCTCCAGCTGAAAAGTCATTCCAGATACTGCCTCTTAAGTGTAAATTTAGTGCTCTATATTTTTAAAAGGAAAAAATGAGAATTTGAAATACTCTCCCTCTCTGGTCTTCTTTTAAAGCCCATAAATCATGGAGGGAAGAACAGTATGCTCACATGTTCCTCATGTCTAGAACTCGTGTTTGAGGTGGGAGTTGAAAATTGAGGCCCTACACCAGGCCATTGAGGCATGCGGAGTGTTGGCGGCAAGAAGTCTCAGGTAAGAGAGAAAAATGGGAAGAACTTGGAAAGCAAATCGAGTTCTAAAGGGACCAGCTTCCATATTAGCCCTGCTGGTTGTGGTCATAATGGGAATGTGGTCCTGGTAAAGCCAAATCCTGGGATTTTCAAACAAAGTCAGATGTGTGACATTTAAATTTTGGTAACAGAATTCAAGTTTTAAACTCTGTGGGTCAAACAGAACCTGTTTTTGTGGGCTGTCAGGAAACCACCTCTGGATTGGATTCTAACACTCCCTATTCATACACACACAATATATATAAAATAAAGGATGTTGAAATACTGCCCTTATGATCAATCAAAGAAAATGTTTTTTTTTAAATAAAGGAAACTAGGGTAATTCATTAATCACAGATAATTCATTAGGCTATAGTAACGTATTCATTATCATGACTATTTAAAAAGAGGGTATATTTGCTTCCTGTCTATTTGGTTTATAAGCAGGTGAGAGTTCAGGAAACAAAGATTTCCTGATATGGTTGTCAATTGTTGGTACTGAAATATTTAAAAGTGTGCAAAATAGAAAGGCCCAGAGTTGTATTTAAAGGGTGATTCTATAAAAACTGAGGGTAGAATAAAGACTTTTCAAGTTCCTTCAGGGCATCACGTTTAGTTTATTATGCCAAAAAAGTGTAGTGGTAGACACTAGAAAAAAGAGACAGTTTGAATATGTTATTATTTTAGACTGTTGCCCTCAAACTGAAATATACAGTTGCTATGAAAAAACTTGCAGTTTCCTGAGGGATGAGAAGAGAAATTCAGAGAATCACGGAGCACACAATGTGTCATTAGCTACTTCAGACAGTACACAGCATCTATTAGTGGATAAAGCAAAAGGAAAGGAATAAACATTCATTTCTATTTCTTACATTGTTGCTCTGGGACCCAGAGGAACAGTGTCACCTTTTGGCATTTGGGTCACCTCCTATGCTAAGAAAAATGACAATGTATGTCCCAAAGGCACTTTGTGAATAATTTTTGACACCTATAAAGCATTTGCAAATTTTTAAACACAACGGTACCACAAAAGTATGGAATGTTATTCTCCCTCTTCATGATATACAGAAGAAATGAAGAATTATGACTGCCAGCCACCAGTCAGCTACCTACTGGAATGTTTTTGTTTGCTTTTCATCTTTGTTCATTCTGGAACCCATCATGTTTATTTCCAAGCAATGTTCTTTCTATCCACTTTAGCTTTGCATTTCATTTAAATGAAAAAGCAGGCTTGGGCTGATTCATTATTTAAATTGCAGTCTCTAAGCTCCCCTTTGGAGACTGAAGAATCTATATGTGTAAGGCTGCAGTTAGGCAAAAAGAAGAATAAGTTACATGATAAAATCCAGGGCCCAGCTCTCAAGTGTGAATTGTATAAAGTTCATTGTCCTTGTCTGTGTCCCTTACAAGTAGTCCTTGGGTAGCTTTAAGTGAGATGTTAACCTTATACTTGAAACATAGTCTTACCTTCATTCTTTAGGGAAAAAATGACAAATGCAGAATTTGAAGATAAACTTCATAGATTAGAAATATACTTATCTCTCTTATAGCTTGATGTACAATATGGAAAATAATACTTTTTCTATGTACTCATTATATATAAAACACAAACAATACATAAATAAAAATAAACATAAAAATCAGTTCATACCTTCTAGAAGAAATCACTCTTTTTTATGATCTACTTTTCTATAATTTACTACTTGACTTTCAGGAAATTAGATAGGTTCATGTTGTTTAATCTATCATTTAACTTCTTGAGAACTATTCTCAAAATTTTTTTAACAATTCAGTTAGATTGAATTACAAAAATATTTAGCATACATATATATGTGTGATTTTCTCTATATATGTATTTTACATATGTGTTTTTTTGTTTTAATCATGAAGGGTGATGTATAAATCAGAGGTCCTAATGTATAAAATAGAGAAGAAAGAAAAGATCACTTGCCAACTCTTGGCTGTCTTTTGCACACTGAGCCCATTACAGGATACATTACCTCCATGGATATTAGCATGTTGGCTGAGTCTTATTGGGAAGGAAATGAACTTATAAAAACAAGCTTGCCTTGCAAGTTCTCTCCCCCAAACCAGCTCCTATGGATACTGTACCTTCCGGAGGGGTTTGAGCTTGGTCTCCATTATGAAGTCATATTTGCAGAGTTCGCAGCAGCGCGTGTCTGAGCTCTTGATCCACTGGTGGAGGCAGGACTGGTGGACAAAGCGCAGGGTCCCCGTGCAGCGACAGGGTGTGATGAGGGGGCTCTCTTCATCCCCTTCGCAGTGACAGATCCTGGGGAGGGACACGGCAGACAGTATGAAATCTCACAGAGAACATTCTCACCAGTTGATTTCTACCCTTGCTTACACCAGGCTATATTAGAACTTATAACCTAAAATTTAGAGTACACTGACATTTAATTACAACCTGGATGCTAGAGCTGAGTCTTTGATCAACATGAATTTGTTTGCACTTGTATGGTCATTGCCAGACTTAAGTCGTGTTATAAGGCATTAGATATTGGCAATGCAGAAACAGACTATCATTTGATTTCTACACTGAAGCCAGTTTTTAAAAAAATAATTAATAATTCTTTGATACTGGGGATTGAACCTACAGGCCCTTAACCGCTGATCCACATCCCCAGTCTTTTCTATATTTTATTTAGAGACAGGTTCTCACTAAGATGCTTAGAGCCTCAATAAATTGCTGAGGCTGGCTTTGAACTCTCAATCCTCCTGAGCCGCTGGGATTATAGGCCTGCGCCACCATGCCTGGCCTGAAGCCAGTTTTAAGAGCATACAAGCTCTGCATCCAGCTTCATTTCTTTTAATAAGTCACTTTCTTTGGGTTTTCATATCTAAAAATTATGATATGTAAATATTCTAAGGAATGTTAGAATCAGGGTGATATTGGCCTCATAGAATATGTTTGGAAGTGTCCCCTCTTTTTCTATTTCATGAAATAGTTTGAGGAGTATTGGTGTTAGTTCTTCTTTAAAGGGCTTGTAGAACTCAGCTGTGTATCCATCTGGTCCTGGGCTTTTCTTGGTTGCTAGGTTTCTGATGGTGTGGAACATTTAACACATTTCATTGTGTTATTTTGATGGCGGTTTTACAGGGCTATAGTGTATAATGTAGTAATATAGTGTGGGAAATTTCTGAAAAATTTTAATGCATAATCAAAGAATAAAGTTACTACTGAAGTTTCAGACTAAAAATATTATAAATATTTTCCTAGGAAGAAGCATACCTATTGGGTCATAATTAACTGTCCAAACTGTCAATAGTCATCATTGTACAAAAACCCCATAAAAATGACCAATTACATAAAATTCAAGTTCATGAAATTCTGTTGTTTGAAAATGTTAATCACTACTTTGGCCAGTGAACTTTGAGTTCAAATAGTTTCTGAATTACTCTAAAGTCTAGTTTTAAAGATTTAGAGTTTCACAGATTTACATAGAGAAGTTTGCAATCCATGTCCCCCCTTCCCTGGGATGAGTTAAAAAGTAGCAATGTTGGATGTAGTGTCTCATATAAAAATCAATGTGGTAGGGGAAAATTAAAATGAAATCTTCATTACTCTCATATTCATACTTTTAAAAAATAATTTATTTTCTTCTTTGAATGAGTTAAGCCTTTCATAACTCTAGGTAGTGAACTAAAACCTTAGCCTTTCAGCAACTCTCACGATTTAACCAGCTGTTAGAAGTTGGTAATAAATTTAATTAGAAACATTGCTTTATATCTGTTAGAGATATGAATGTTGAATGTAGCATTTTAAAAAATTAAAAATCTGTGTAATTCCTTTTTTTTTTTTTAAAAAAAAAAAAGCTGGGTCACAGTGGTGGGATGGAAAAATGTATCCATTGCTGCTACTGCTCTTTCCTTATGGGTGTTTACACCCTTTTCTCCAGAAGCATATGTTTTAAAGAGTGGGTTTAAAATCTACTCTGAAAATACACTATCTCCCCAGAGAAAATGAAATACCTGCTCAGATTGCCAGTGCAGTAAGATACAGGAATTGAAACCTAATGCTCCCGACCTCAAAATAAAGAAGTAGGACAGAGGACACCAGTATTTTGTCTTAATTTCTTAAGTAAAAATAAAGTCAGCACAAGGAAACCCCGACTTCTACAGTTTTGGGGTGGGCATGATGGGATGAGGACAGAGGGAAGGTCAGGCCAATGTCCCCTCTCTCCCTCCCAGACAGAGCTGAGAGCAACAATGCTGGATAAAACACCTCAAGGTCAAATGGCTGATGTGGTGGTGCATGCCTGTAATCTCAGTGGCTCCAGAGGCTGAGGCAGGAGGATTGTAAGTGCAAAGCCAGCCTCAGCAAAAGTGAGGCACTAAGCAACTCAGTGAGACCCTGTCTCTAAATAAAATACAAAAGAGGGCAGGGGATGTGGCTCAGTGGTCAAGTGTCCCTGAGTTCAATCCCTGGAACCCACTCTTGCCTCCCAAAATGATCCGAATGCCTATTCCTTAAAAAACCTGAAATAGCTCCTTCTTCCAAAACCTAGGCTTCAGGAACTGGGCCCTCTGTGCTTTATATCACAGTTAATGCCACCACAGTGTCACAGCCTAGGTGCCCAGTAGTGGCTGACAAGGCAGCTATGAAGGAAATAAGAGCTTCTACAGCATTTAATCTGATTGTAATATTTACTATTTGAGTCACTGAAATCTAATTAATTGTGAAGAATAAGAGATATTATTTCATAGGTCCTTGAACCCATTTTTTCTCCCCATTTTTTATCGGTGCTTTATATTGTACATATGATGGAATTTGTTGTTATATATTCATACATGCACACAGTTTAACAATATAATTTGGCCAATACCACTCCTCAGCACTTCACCAGTCCCTCATCTACTTCCACGCCCCCCTCTTCTATTCTATTTATCTCTCTTTGATTTTCATGAAATCCCCTCCCACACCTTCTTTTCCTTTTTCCTTTCTAGCTTCTACATATGGGAGAAAACGTGATCCTTGACCTTCTGACTTTTTTCATCTTGAAACTCCTATTTCTCTTACTACTTCAATCAGACCTTGGCCCAATTCTGTGCAATGAATGTGATTATAAATAAAGTTTTATTGAAACACAGCCTCGCCTATTGGTTTATATATTGTTTAGAGTTATATTTGCAGTATAACAGCAGAGCTAAGTAGTTTCTGCAGAGATCATCTAGTTGCAAAGATTAAAATATTTGCTATCTGGACCTTTTCAGAAAATGTCTGCAGACTCCTTCTTTAAGGTATACATGGCGATTCTGAGTTAGAGACAATATGTGTATGTTGCTGACAACAATGAAAAAAAATTTACAAAATAAATCACCCCAACCTCTGCAAGCAACCAAAAACTGAAATAAAGATTATATAGGGAAATAATAAAATGCTCACACTATAAATGAAAGCTATCTTGACCTGACTTTAAAGTCTACTGCTTCCATGGGCAAAATTACTCATTTGAAAAAGAGAAATTTGCCTTTAAAGTCATTTGATAATTCATCACTAAAATAAAATAAAAAGATTGTATTAAATGCTCAACTGCTCAACATCTGTCAAAAAGATTCTGAGGTTCTGACTTTTTACTGACATGAATAAAGTAATTTATTCACAAGCAGTTTTAAACAAAGACCTAGCTGATTTACTAAGTTCAAACTGACCTGATCAGCTTACTGATTATAATACAACTTCCTATGTCTTATAATGATCTTTTAAAAAAAATTTGCTAAGACTCTTACCTGAAGCACCACCAGCAGTATTATTTTCTCATAAAATTAAAATTATTTCCCATAGGAAAAATTAAAAGTTTGCTTCATTTTCATTTCCATTTCACATACTTTATTTTAGCAGGTTTTTAGCATTTTGAACTATTTCTAAATTATCCAACTCAAGTGAGACCCAAGAGTCTTTTCTAAGCTATATTTAGATTGTTTCAAATGAATTGAAGAGCTAAATATCAACTTCAAGTATCTTTTAAAAATAAAAAATAATATGATAAGACCATTAAAGAAAGAATTAAACAATTCTTAAATTGGTATACTTGACAGAAATCACAATTGCTGAATTATAAATGAAAACACAGTAATGAAAACACAAACATGTTTTTCCCAACAGAATAATTGTATAAAGAAAATGTTGTTAATGCTATAATAAAATTACATTGTAAAATATTCATAATTTTGATGCATTTTTACTTGATGGGAAATTGAGGCTTGGAAATTCAGTAATTCTATAAACTCATTGGTGATCCATGTTGGTGCCTGATACCCAGTGGGAGGAAGAAGCTGAATTCATAGATTTTATTGGCATATTAGTATATTGACTGTCTACTTACAATCTAATCAGCATATGTTGAGATTTTCATATTTAAGACTTCAATGCACTGGTACTTCCACATAATTTTTAGCTTTCCATGAACAGAACACCACAAAATGTTATGTAACACATTAAATGTTAGTTTTTTTGTTTGTTTGTTTTTGTTTTCTTTTTGGTATGGTCAAAGTGTGTAATTGCCTTAATGTTTGAGTTTAAGAAAAGTAATTTCTTTTGTTTTGGTCTTATTTATGTTAAAATGGTCTTTATTTTTCACCATTCACTCCCTTCTGAAGGCTCTTGGACCTGATAGAATAATATATTTTTCTGTAAAAGTTTTAAAAATAATTCATTACTTGAAAAATTGTCTTTATGAGGCCCATCATGGTTAAAAAAACTTGGGAATTTAAAAATTATTTCATTCATTTGATTGATCATATTTTTTTAGTTCTTTTTAAAAAATATGTTCTAGTTGTAGATGGACACAATACCCTTATTTTATTTATTTATTTTTATGTGGTACTGAGGATCGAACCCAGTGCCTCACACATACTAAGCCACCACACTACCATTGCGCCACAGTGCCACAACCTCAGTCCTTCTTAGGGACCTTGTTTGTGATACTCTTGCAATTATCTGAGAAATAAGAACCTGGACCAACATGGTGACCTTGAGGAAGGTCAACAAGTGACTCTGGGAAGTGTGGAGACATGGAGGGCTCACTTGTCTTCCATGATTAGCTGTAGTAGCAAAGCACTGCTAGAACATACTTCCAAATGCCATCATCCTTGTCATCTTCAAGCAGCATGGTGACCACAGGCTTCCCAACTGATGGATTCTCAGAGCCATGCTAGATTTACCCCTTCTTTTTTTGGCCTTTCTTCCTAAGGCTATCTCCTCACTTCCCTATCTACATTTTTCTCCATAACCATCTCCAACTAAATAATCTTTAACAGTAATTGTGGGTA